AATTCTTCATTTTTAAAAAGCATTTCATTGAATTCAACTTTAGTTAGTTTAGATTTCATATTATCACTATCTGATTCACTATCACTATTGCTTGAACTTCCACTTATTTGCTTTGAGAAAATGTTGCTTAAATCTTTTAAAAGTGGTCCAACTTTTTGTCTAAGTATCAAACATATCATAAACTGCATTGCTCTATAACAAACATCTAAACAGTATGGTATAATAACAATCTTCATTTGTGTTTTGAAAATCTTGTTAGAATTTAAGTTGTGGAAAAAAATCAAAGATGTTTTAAATAACTCTGTTGAGTACTTTAATGTTTTTTGACAGTAATTTGTTGTCAAATCCATCAAAAGCCCCCCTTCTGTATTATTTTGTAGTTTAGGCTCATAAGAAGTAAACAAAATGTAATTTAAAGTATACAGCATCATTTCTAATTGTAAATGTTTTTTGAAGAATAGACATTTTGTAATACTTTCTTGTGGTATATCCAATTTTTTACCACTATCCTTATTTGATGTTGAAGATGAATTGGAAGAAGAAGAAGTGTTAATCTCAAAAATATTTTTTAAAGATGGCAAATTATAACCATTATATTTTGCAAATCTTTCTTTTTGACTTTGTGTTTTACACATTTCAGGAGTGATTATATCAATTCCATTTTGAACCAAAGCATAGCTTTCCAATGGATCTAATAAGCAATTATCCAAGAGTTTTTTCAAGCTAATTTCTATAATATTTTCATTACTTTTGTTTTCAACTATTTGAATCAAAATATCAATTACTAAATCTAACTTCCATTTCCTACATTTGTCTTCAACTTTAGAAATTAAAACAAGTTCTGAAACTGCAATTAATACCAAATCTAATTGATAAAAAAGTTTACAATTTTTTCCTATAATAATTTCACCTAAATTATTATCAAAACAGTAATCAAATTGTTGTGTGTAAACCAATGATTCAACAGTACTCATAAAAGACTGCTTACTATTCAAACAAGTATTTTCATTGAAGTTACCACCACTATTATTGTTAACAGAAGAAGTAGCAATAGAATTATTCACTCCTTTTGATTCATCTTCTGAGCTCAATTGTTCACTATATGGTAAATTAACATCTGTAAAAGATCCCAACTTTCTTAAAAGCCTAGGAGTTCCATTGTTCAAACATTGATTGATATCCATATCAACAATGAAAAACCAAGTTTTTCTCCATTGGTTTTTGAATCTTTGTATGGCTTGTTGAATTTCTTTGGCAATAATTTTAGGTTCTTTCAATTTACTTGTATCTGAAAAATCATAATTTTCAGAAATTTTATTCAAAAGATGGCTTGCCAAATTAGCATAGTTATCTGGATCTCTATGTAATCCAGAATCAAACGACAATTGAATGATTTGTGCAAGTAGTAATTCACTTTTATTATCTGATGAATTTACATTAGTCAATGTGCTGATAGTATCATTTTCTGGACAGATACCAAGGTACCACTTATAAAATATTAAGAAATGAATTAATGCTAGATTGCTATTAATTATACTTCCAGAATTGTTATCGATTGAGTTTGTATTTCCTGACAAATTGAAATCAATTAATATGTCATGAACCTGATGAATCAAAGTAGGATCCAGAGTAAGCTTTGATGTATTACCACTATAGTCTATTGGTTTTGAATTGATGGCTTTATCAGGACTTACATTACAATTTTCATCTGTAGGTAAATTAAATTCTAAATGTTCTCTAATAAATTCTCTACTGAAACCTAATTTTAAATCAATATTCATATCTTGACTTATATTTACACACCCTAATCTGATGATAACTAATAGGATTCCGAGATGAGAACTATCAAAAGTATTATGAATGGAAATATCATATTTATCTTTTTTTTCATTAAAATCATTAATTTGTAGAATTCTTTTAATTTCCTTTTTGAAAAGTGTTTCATCAAGGATAGGAATTTCTGGATAAAGTTCTCTAAAAAACAAATTGATAAGTTTTTTTATAACAGAAGGTTGTGGTAATGAATCATTTAATTTTGCAATTAGTTCTTCTCTGCTAGTTTTGGAAGCGTTTGGTAATAAACTCTCACTTGAAAAAGGTGACACTGATCTTTCTTTGAAAGCAGGTTTATGATCAACAGGGCATCTTCCTTTTCTTTGTTGGTTGTTTAGAGAAGAAGATGATAGTGATGAAGGAATGTTATTTAAAATTTTGGTTTTTTCATTGGCCTTATCAACAGGGTGAGCAACTGGACATTTACCTTTTGGTTTAGCACTTTGGTTTTTAGGAATTGTATTGAAATCATTTGCTTGACTTTCATGACTCACAGGACATTTTCCTTTGTTTGAATTTGGTTGATGAGATACTGGACAACCCCCTTTTGTTTCTTCAATATTTTCATACAAAGGCAAACTTACAGATTTCATTTTCCTGCTCCTTTGTCTTAAACTATAAGTTCTTTGATATTCTTGATATTCCAATAATTTTTCTCTAATTTTAAACACATGTGACCAAAGAATCTTTAAATATGGATCTCCTTTTAAAATTGAAAGGTAATGAGTACTTCCTAGATAACTTAAAGTATTATTTCTTGGGTTTATATGCAAGGATTCAAACCTTTTCCCTATGGATATAACATCATTATCAAATTTCTTAAAAGGGTTTTGATTTTCACATTTAGTAATGCTTGAATCATTTCGATAAGATTCAGCACTTGATAAACTATGTGGTGATACTAAAGATTCGTTTTGATCTTCCAGTTTGATGTTTAAAATATGGCCTGAATTTCGTTGATAGTTTGATAATTGTTCTTCTAGTTTTTTCACTTTTTCTCTTAAATCAGTTAATTCTTTTTCATGAGAAAGTTGAGTGTATCCTTCTTTTGACCATTCTGGAGATAAGTAATGGCATAAATGTTTATAACCTGTTTTAACACATGAATTACAGTGTGGTCTGTTTTTATCACATTTAACTTTTCTATTTCTACAAACAGAACAACTTAATGGTATTCTATTTCTTGTTTTTCTGTTAGTTTTTTTAAGAACCTTTTTTTCCGTTGATTCTGGAAAAATTATATTTGAATTATTCATTTCTTCTTGGGTATATAAATTTAAAATATATATATATATAGCTTTTATTATTTAAAAAAGGAAAAAAAAAAGTTAATTGATACTTAAATAAAAATCTTAATATTTATACATTTACTCATTTCTATTTTATTTCTCCACAGCTCTTAGTTTATAGTGATAGTATATATTATTAAAATTATTTTACTAATTTCTAAAAAAAAAAATAAAAAAAAATATGCAAACGAAGTTTGTGTTATAAGCTGATAAAGCCTTTCTTAAGATTGTTGAAAAATTTCATTAAAAAAAAAAAAAAATTGCACCTAAAATCGTTTATAAAAAATTTATATATTTTGTCTAAAGATATTGTCACACATTCTAAGTTAAATAATTTTTTTAAAAAAAAAAGTCCACAACTACAAATATGTAAAAAAATTATTCAATGGTCGATCCCGGGATCGAACCGGGGACCCTTCGCGTGTAAAGCGAATATCATAACCTCTAGACTAATCGACCTATAAATAATTCTATGAATTTTGTTATCGGGCAATTTTGTATGATTAATTGCATAATTAACTGTCACGTTTTTGGTGTATTAGATCTTGAAATATTCCTTTTTTGTATTTTAATTATCTTTTAATCTTCTAATTATTGTTGTTAATATAGTCTTTAAGATGATCAGAACAAGTGACGCTTATTAATATCTAATTTTTTTCAATTCTATTGATAAACTCTTATCAATTTACTATTGTATTCTTCAAATAAAATACCTCTTATTTATACTAAGAAATCACTGGTTTGAAAAACCTTCAAAACTTTCTTATCCTTAAGAAATAAACTTAATAACAACTAAAAGTAAAACAATTTTAAATCTAATCACTTTAATAAAATCTTTCATTTTATTAAGAAAAACTTAAGTTGAGTTTTACACCTCCTTCCTTCCTGAAAATGAAACTCCCCTTAATTTTCCTGTTCTCATTTGCAAAATAATTAATTTCTTATCCTCCCCTCTTTTCTCGGAGATAAGCAATCGATCAATTTTTCTTAATTCATTATTTCACTCGACTTTCAACAAACTCGAATAAAAAATCTATTCCGGTTCCCTGATCCTACATGGACTATACAAATCAGAAATAATGTGGTCCAAGACTCTGATTTATCCATGTAAACTCTGATAAACCTAAGCCTGTTTCCTGTCCAGATATTGTTTGTGGTCCTTAATCTTCTTCTTATAATAAAGGGCGTTAACAATTCCTTGATACACTCAATTTAAACAAACCAATAAATAACAGAGACTCTATTGAAATAAGTCCCTTATCCTTCCTTCCTTCTTCTTTAACTGAACAAGTAAGAGATTACCATTCTTACTTAAATTTTAATATTCTTTCACTTAAAAGTAATAACACTTTCTTTCTTATTTAACTGAAACTTACATAGTGAAAGCTGGGCCACATGTCAAAAGAAATGAAAACTAAACTTTTC